TATTACTGTTCATTTATGTTATGCATGTCACAGTAAGCCTGCGTGTGTGTTTTCTTTTTAGTAAGTGTTTTACGGCACTTGCAACACAATAAGGTCATATAAGTGCCGAAGATTAGAGGTGTTACAAGAGAGTAACAAACATAAAAAAGAAGGAGGGGAGATAAGGACGATAGATGTTTTATAAGAAAGAAGGAGCAAACCACACCAAAGCACCCGCTAACCACCCACGATTTAAATTGTGTCAATGGGGGTGTAAACTGTCTGCATATATATATATAAAAATGTTTATAAAACATCATGTTGATTTGATAACATTTATCTGACTGATTGACAACAGTGCTTTACTTTAATATGTCAGTCCAAAATCCAATTCCTGAGTGAAAACAACACCAAGATGAAATTCCAAACAACCTCACACAAGGCAAACAATTGGCAATTACGTAAAACTTTACTTCATAATATGACATTAATTTATCAATTAAAATATTTCTCACCTTGGGAATTGAACTCAGAGAGAGCTCAGCTATGAAGAAGGTAGATTTTATCATCATTTACAAACGCACACACACACACACATACACACACACACACACACACACACACACACACACACACACACACACACACAGAAACATCTGAGAAACTGAACTCACTAAGCACTCCGCCACTAACGCCATTTAACACTTTTTATGTCTCAAAAAAACATCTTTGTCACATAAAACAATTCAGAATGTACAAGCTATGAGTTCAGCTGAAGCCTACGACCACCCACAGGGAAAAAGTGTTCTGTTTTAGTAAGAGTTTTACGGCACTTGCAACACAAAAAGGTCATATAAGTGCCGAAGATTAGAGGTGTTACAAGAGAGTAACAAACATAAAAAAGATGGAGGGAAGATAGAGACGATAGATTTTTTATAGGAAAGAAGGAGCAAACCACACCAGAGCTCCCGCCAACCACCCACGAAAAAGTGTAGTGTAAAATAGCATACCAATCAGGGAGTAATTAACCCTATCCGTACGCCCTGGGGTCATTTTGTACCCCCCGAGGTTGTATTCTTCACATTTTTAGAATACTTCTAGTACGAACATCTCTTTGAAATTTTCAGTATTTCTCAAAAATTCATTTTGACAGACTGCTACGCAAAGCGCATGGATTGGATTAATGAGTAAATTTCCTCTTTGGAAAGTGGTGGCACAGAGTTCTCCACGTCGTATGGATACGATAGTAAAACACGACGTACGGATAGGGTTCAAACCACAGGGATGGATGTAGGATCAGAATCTGACGGTTGCATGCAATCACAAGACTTGTTTAACGTGCCACTTACACAATCACTGAACTGACAATCACTGAA